ACTTATTCTCTAACATTTAGTGGCACGGCTTCTGATGGTTTTATTACACATATGTTTGCTTACTTTTTACCCCCAGATAATGGAATATATTTCTTCGATATGACTAGCACATGGTATGGTTTAATGTATATTTCTACGCTAGGAAAACAAGACAGAAGGGTGCTTGTGTGGGGCACTGGGTATGCTTATAATTATTTTGCCTTAAGTAAATTTTTTACTAAAGTATATCAAACAACATTTACAATAAGAATAATATCAATTTATTTTGAGATATTGTTTACAAAAATTTAGAACAATTTCAAAGTCGGTATACATGGAAAAAAGCAGGAAAATATTGATTGAGATTGTTACTGGTGGTCAATATGGTAATTGGCAGTCTCCTATTATACTAGATGTAACTTTACCCAACAACACAAAGTATTCGCCTATTCCTCACAGCTTTTTTGATTCTCTATTGTTAAATAATTTTCATTAAATTGTTTTAAAAGTCTAATTTTGTAATATTTGTTTTATTTGTAATTTTAATTATTTTAAATACTTTTAATATAACTTGAAATAAATCGTGTTAAAGACAACTACATTTTTGCAAATAACTTTTTTGATGAATGTAAAAAAATACAGACTCATTAAACAAAATAGTTAAATGTACTTGCATTTTATTACAAAAAAAAAAATTAATGACTATTTTTGATGGTTTTATTTTACGGCTGCCTCGAGCCAAATGAATGTTGCATTCACATAGAAAAACTTGTAAAAAAAATCATTTTTTTAGACATCTTAAATGCTCTAATGGTTTTAAATTGTACCTCAGAAAGACATTTAATTAAAATTTTTTCTGCCACGAGGTTAGCGTTCTTATAAAAAGTTGCGGATTTTCTTTTTTATTTATTGATTTCCCCAAAGACTAAGGGCCACTAAAGTCTATGAGGCAATTCTTTTTTCTGAAACTGCTGTTACAACTTTGTTGTTAAACCATCGCAATTCTAGTAATAACATTACTAGAATTACTACTACCACTACTACTACTACTACAACACCTACTACTACTACTACTACTACTACTACTACTACTACTACTACTACTACTACTACTACTACTACTACTACTACTACTACTATTACTACTACTACTACTACTACTACTACTACTACTACTACTATTACTACTACTACTATTACTACTACTACTACTACTACTACTACTACTACTACTACTACTACTACTACTACCACTACTACTACTGCATTAAAACAGTTTTTATATAATTTTGTTTATTATAATGAGAATGTATTTTTATTTAAGAAATAATTATGAATAAGACAAACATGTATCAAATATGGTTTTGTCGACCAAATTACAACTTTAAACAAGATAAAAATTTAAAGAAAGTTCTACCACTAATTTTTTTGCAGCCATCGTGATACCTTTTTCGCAGCCATCGTGATACCTTTTTGCAGCCATCATGATACCTTTCTCTGCATAGTACACATAATAAATGTTGATGTAAATGATTACTGTCTCTTTAGGATGAATATTTATAGCATATTGTCCAACTCTTTTTTTGTTGATTTAAATTTTTCATTGTCATATCAAATATGCTTTTACTCCATGGTAAACATTAACAAATGTGCCACAGTACCTAAATAGTGAAATAGTAAAAGTAACAGTTAATTATATAAGTATATACTAACTACAAGCCTTCAAGGCGTGTCATTTTATTAACATTTTTGCTTGTGGGTTTATAAAAACTCAAAAAGCGTATACACTTTCAAAAACTTTTTTATACATAAAAAAAGAAAATTTTCCGTCTTTTAAAACAGGCTTTGTAACTTTTTTGTTTAACTCTTTTTAATGTTTAAAAAAATAATTTTCAATTACAATTTAAAACTCTTTTACTGCTTTTTTTTTAAATAAACATGCGGCTAAGTTGAGTTAAGTGATAAATTTTTAAAATGATTTTCCACGATTCGTAATGCCTCACTATAGTCCGATCGAATGGCATCTAAATTTAGAATATAAGATGTAATTTAATGCTTTTTTAACTACATATATAGGCCCTAAATGGGCTCTATGTGGGCTAGCCCCTGAATACAAAATACTTTGTATTCAAGGACAAGCTCACGTGGGGCCCATTTTGGGCCCATAGATAAAGCCCATATAGGGCTCACTTGGGAAAACCCATATGGGCCCCAATAGGACATGTTCGCTGGGTTAGTAGAAATCGGTCGAAAAATGAATAAAACGTTTAGCGACCTATTATTGGCTAAAAATCGACGCTTAATTTGAAATGTATATTTCAAACTTTTTTATATATACGTTTACAAAACGTCGATTTGACGTTAAGAATATCGACTTATATTAGTCAATATTGTAAACCTTTAATCAACCTTAATTAAACGTAAATTTTTATAGATTTAAAATCTACAACAAGAAAATACACAAACGTCTATTAAACGTCAAAACAGCGTTTTGACAAAACGTTTAAATTTGGTCGATAACACTGCCCAACAGTGATTTTGTATTGGAACCAAAATTAGTTTTTTCTTATGTATTTCCCTCTGCTGAATTCAAAAATGACATTAAAAATGACATATTAGCTATAGTTTAAGAAATGAAAGAAAAAATTTTCTCTCGAGGCAAGGGTTTAATTAAGCGATCGCGAAATGAAAAATCCGGAAAAATATCAGGTCTTCAAAATTTTAGCTTACGCAAAACCGTGTACTTTGTTTTCTAGGGGGAGAATCAACTTAAATTTGTTAGGAAAAAAGTTATAAAATATAAAATAATAAACTTACGACTGCAAAATTAATAACAATCTAGTACTAACTGCATTATAAAAGTAATAACACTATAATAGTGTATTTACTTTTATAACGCATTTATAACTTTTATAATTCATTCTTAGTTCAAACAACATAAGCAATCCCAAATTTTAATTGAAGTAGAAAAGCCTCTAGAAAAATAGAGTGGATATTTAAATAATGTTTAAAACATATTAAAGAATTTAAACAACTTAATAAAAACGTACTATATAAACAGTAGGCATTGCAAAAAACGTTACTAATAGTCCGTAAAAACGCATGTTAATGTTAACGCATGTGCTTTATAAAAGTAATAATACTATTATAGTTTTGTTACTTATATAATGCAGTTAATGACTGGAGTGTTATTACATTCGTAATCGTAAGTTTATTGTTTTGTTTTTTATAACTTTTTCGCAAACAAACTTAAAATTATTTGCTCCTTAAAAACAAAGTACAAGGCTTTGCATAAACTAAAATTTTGAAGACCAGATTTTTTTCCAGATTTTGCAAATCGCGATCGTTTAATTCAACTCTTGCAAAGGTAACTTTCATTTTTTGAAAAAAGATTTTTGTTTTTGACTATTCATAATGTTTGATTCATGTTTAAAACTTGTGATACTAGTTATGCGTGTTTGCTAACGTTTCTGGTCTAATATATTCATAGTTTTTTTTTTTCAATTTCTAGTGTAAAATTTTACAAATCTACTCATCTAAAATTTTACAAATGCCAAAGAAGTGTGTAAATTTAGTGCATAATTTTTGTTAAATTTGTGGTGAAACAACATTTTTCTCACAAAAAAGAACTACGACACCTCTTGTGCAGACTGCTTACCAGCATTACTTCAATATGAAGGTAAGGAATCAGGATTAATAAAGCTCTTGTTCGGTTAAACTACAAGAATGGTTGAAAAATAAAAAAAAGATCTTTGCCTTTTGCTATTCCTATGGTACAGAGAGGGCCTAAAAACCATACAGATGACTGCTATTTTTGCTTGACCCCACCCATTAAGGCAGGTTTGTCAGTGAAAAAAATAGGATAAGTTAAATATCCAAATCTTTCCTCTGCCACTCAACCTATTCCTCATTCAGATAGTTTACCAGTTCCTACTCCACCACAAACTTATGAGTTAGAAGCAGAAAATGAATACGGAAATGATGTAAAAATAGAAGAAAACAGGCCTTCTTCATCAAATGATCCTGTTTTTTTGTTAACAGATGTTGTGCCACACAGATTGAGTCAAGCAGAATTAAGTGATCTTGTTCGAGATCTGGACTTGTCACAGGAAAAGGCAGAACTTCTAGGGTCAAGACTCAAAGAGTGGAATCATCTCCAATTTGATGTCAAGGTTTCACATTATAGAAAACGGCAGCGGAATCTGCTTTCTTTTTTTGAGAAGAAAAATAATCTTGTTGCTTGCATTGATGTTTTTGAATTAATGTATTGTCTTAATTTGAACTATGACCCAACTGAATGGAGATTATTCATAGACTCATCTAAGCTAAGCCTAAAAGCTGTATTACTGCACAATGGAAACCGTCTTCCTTCTGTTCCTATTGGCCATGCAGTTCGCATGAAAGAGACTTATATAAACATGAAAGTTCTCCTCAACTCAATTAATTACAATGAACACAAATGGAAAATATGTGTTGATATAAAAGTCTTTGCTGTACTTTTACGTATGCAATTAGGGTATACTAAATACTGCTGCTTTTTGGGTATGTAGGATAGTAGAGACAGAAGTTCACATTATATAAAAGAAGACTGGCCTGCAAGAAATCTCAACACAGAAGAAAAAATTGTTATTGCTGAACCACTTGTGGAACCAAAAGATGTTCTTCTTCCACCATTACATATTAAGTTGGGTTTAATGAAAAATTTTGACAAAGGTATGAACAAAGAAGGACAGGCTTTTATGTATTTAAGAAACAAATTTCCAAAAATAACTCATATAAAAGTTAAAGAGGGTGTTTTTGTTGGACCACAAGTACGCCAGCTTATGAAGGATCCTGCATTTGACGAAGTTTAAAAATGGCAAGAAAAAGAAGCTTGGAAACCTCTTAAGGGAGTGATTTGTGGATTTTTAGGCAACAAAAGAGATGATAACTACATTAAATTGGTAACAAAACTTCTGCAAAAATACCATCAACTTGGATGTTACATGTCCCTCAAGATTCATTTCATCCACTCAAAGCTAGACTTCTTCCCCCCAATTGTGGAGCTGTTAGTGATGAACATGGGGAAAAGTTTCACCAAGTTATTTCTGTGATGGAACAAAGATATCAGGGTCGTTTGAATGAATGAGGCTATATTTGCAGATTACTGTTGGTTTTTGTGTAGGGATGCTCCGGAACTAGTCTACAAAAGGAAAGCAAAAAGATCACAATCTCGTGACGATACCCCATAATCATCTTTACACCTCTTAACTTGATGATCATGATTTTTTTGTTTAAAACTATTAAAATTTTTTTGTTTAAATCTATTAGATTGTATCTGTAATAAAAAAAAACAAATGTACTTTAAATGTTTTTAGAATATGTAAATTATATGTCATATTGTTCTGTTGAAAATTAACTGAAATAAAAAGTTATTTTCATTGTATATCTCAGAAACTAGAGCTAATAAAAAATGTTGTTATTTTCTTTTTTCTCAGCCCAAAATTAGTATAACTTGAATAAAATTGCTAAA